AAAACATTTTTAATTAATTACAGAGTGATATTAATTATTTGAAGGAAATATTTAAAAATCTTTGATCTTGAATTCTATCTATTGTTTAATCTTTTTATAATGCAATGTGAGGTAATTATTATTGTTTTGTCGTGATAATTGATTATCTTTACCTGTTGACAGACAACTTTATATAATACTTTTATCAAAGATATGCTATAATATGAAATGTAAATACTTGAAAAAAATTCTTAACTTTATCTCCAGTCATTTTGAATTTATTATTTATATATTTTAACTTACAATTTAAAAGGAATTAAAGCAAAAATGTTGCATTATCTATTCGCTATCGTAATTTTAAATATGTTAATATCATTTTTTTGTTGATAAGCGTCACATGCGTGTAAGAAAATCCCCGGTGGTTTATCGGCCATACATTATTTACAAATGATGCCGCGCGTATCTCGTGGGCATGAGATCGCTTTATCACAATTGTATCACTATCGAAACATTACCAGAAAGCTACAAACAGTCGAGTGCAAAGATCAATGGTCTCTCGATTGCCTCGCTATCGCCGTTGTGAATTATTACGGCGTAACGCGATCAATAGTTTTGATAATATATCCGTTGATTTTCTAATTTGCTCCATGATCTATTTTCCCATTTAACACCATCAAGCTCATGCCGGGACGGCATAAAATCGTTTTCGACTCGTTTCGAGTATCACATCCCGATATATACTCTCGGGCAAACGTTACACAAAAACACGCCCTTTCCTGCTTGATTAATCGCGCTCTTCGCGTAATCCTCCGTATTTAGAAGATGTGGGTTAATCGAATGAGTCAGTGCAATCGAATCCGGGAATAAAACGAAATAAAGTCGGAGCAATGTAGCAGAAGATAAATTTTAAAAATTAAGACTACGACCCTTAACTTGATACCTTATATTTATTTATATCTACTTTTATCAATCGGATCAATGGATTGGCTAACGTATGATTTGAAATCACTATAATGATATGTAATTGTGAACGTAGTTATGTTCAAGGCAAAATGTAATATGAAACTGCGTTCATTAAGTGTCCGGGACTTCACAGAACTCTTTAATAGGCATGGCAATTACATTCGCGTTATTAGCATCACGAACTTGTATTACTTGTTTGTACGTGATTTATTATTACGCTAAACCGCCTTTCGGTCTAGGATTTTTTAAATTCAGGAATTATTTACAAGCCAGCTTACTAGCAAACGGTATATTATTTCCTGACTTTTTTTGATTTTGATTACAAAGCAAAAGTGCGTAATAAATAAAATAGTTCTAATTTATATACAATTTATATTAATTAAAAACGATTGTTATAAAAAATCATTTACATTTATCTATAAATATTTTTAAATCTAAAAACAATCTTAATTCGTCTAATTTTTGTAAATCATATACAATGCATATACAATATTGCACATTTTAAAATATGGTATATAATTTATGTGCTAAATTTAAATTTGATGTGATATAAAAGATTATAAAATTTTAAGGACAGGCTACACATTAATACGTGATCAGAATTGCGTGTTAATCGACCATTCAGTATCTTCGTAAATCTTTTTCCCAAAGCGGTAACTACTTGCGCCACTGTTGTACACTTGGTATCACTTTTATTACATCAGAGAGGCCGCCTTAATCCAATTTCATGACGATACGCTACTGCTCGGTGAATCGTAGCTTCATTGATTGCGACGCTCGTACGCTGGGTCGACGGTCGTCAGGGGGAGAAGGGAGAAGATAATCTAAACGGAACGTGCATTCAGGATTGGAATACGGGGTGCCCCAAGGAGACTTACCTATGCAATATTTGTTATGTCAAGCTATTTTTATTAAAATTGCTGCAGCAACGAGTGATAATACAACTGTCGAGAAGACCATTTTGAATCTGCAAACTTTCGTGATTTCTTTATTAACATCTTTTTCATACATTTCATTCATACATACATATCTTTTTCATACAAACATTATTAATAAATATATTAATTTTTAGAAATTTATTAATACATTTCTAATAAATTAGAATTTATTTATTTATTTTATTTTATTTAACGTTTTCTAATAAAATAGAAAACATTAAATAAATTAAGGATTAAAAATTTAACTAAATAAAGCAATAAATTATAATAACATTAAGACACATATTAAAGTATGTGTGTTAGAATTCGTGTTGAAAAATAAAATATAATGGGTCAGTTAACGAAAAGTGAACTTTCACTACTTACGCCATTAAAAGTCTTCTACAATTTCTTAAGTTAAATTAATAGATTAAAAAAGAAAAATAATACAATATTTTACTGATACTTGATACATTTTTTGATAATTTGTTGGTAAATTATTAAAATAGCTTGCATACTTTTTTATAACAAATAACTTGATAAAAATTTAATTCTATTTCACAATTTTGCTAAACATATATTAATAAATCTTTTTATAGCAGAAATATTGATTTTATGATATTTAATTTAATTGTTTCCTAGGCGTTTCGAAGTGTTATGATCAATATTTCTTTATTACTTTGAATCAAATTGAATATATAATATGAATAATCAAATTGAAGTATATAATATTTGAAATATATACAGGGTGTCTCATAATAGGTGTATCACCGTTCATGGGTAGATAGAACAGACTAAACTAAACAGAAAAGTCCTCTACCATTTTGCAAAATTCGCAATCATTAACAAGATATTAATTTTTGAAGATGGGCAAATAAACTTAATATCTCGTTAATAAATGCGAATTTTACAAAATAGTAGAGGACTTTTTTGTTTAGTTTAATCTACTTATCTTGCCACGCACTTGCATTCAGCGGTGGGCCGGATGAATACGCGTTTATTCGTCAATCTTCAAAAATTAATGTCTGGTTTACGATTGCGAATTTTGCAAAATGGTAGAGGACTTTTCGATTCAGTTTAGTCCGTTCTACCTACCCATGAACGGTGATACACCTATTATGAGACACCCTGTATAGTGTACTTACATACTCCTCGAAAAATTTACCGTAGACAGAAATTAAATTAACTTTGCTATTATCTTGCTTTAACAAATATGTTATGTGTGCTGTAGTGTTTTATTCTAATTATTAATAAAGAAGTTTATTGCTGTCAATTTATTTCGAATAAATAATAATAATAATAATAATAGACGTTGTTTCCTAAAACTAATTGAACAAAATCTTTCGAGATATTAATTCTGTATGCCAAATTATCTAAACAATTTTCAAACACTGTCGTTTTTATGCTCTTGTTTTATTCTCTTTCAACGCGCATTTAAAAGTTTCTTAAAATCGAATTCTTTTTTTTTTTTGCAGTTTGCCACCCAAAGGCATTGCGCGACGCATGGTACCCTGTACTCTCGCCTACACATGGATCCGCGCGTGCTACTGCGCGTTGGAGAACCACTCTGAAGAAGGGGTGCCCACCATAGAGCCCGTCGCGCCGCCGCCGCGCCGGTGGGGTAGTCGGGAGTGATCAACGATGGTGGTGGTGTGATCGGGGTGGCGAGGGGGTTGACGGAGGAAATCGAGCGGGTGGTACGCCTCGGCGTCGTGGCCGTCGCGATGACGTTGGTGACGTCGATCGGTGGCGCTGCCGATGCTTTTACCTTCGCCCTCCAACGTTCAATGTATGTGCGTGTGTGTGTATGTGTGTGCACGGATCATAGTGACGTTGTACGTAGAGCATACTCGCGGGGGTAGGGACGGTAAACTCGCGGTAACGCTTCCACGAAGGTGGCGCCAATGATGGAGGAGCCGGCAAAGGTGGTGGTGGTAGTGGTTGGTGATAGTAGTGATCTCGATGGTAGTGGTAGGCAAGGGGTGGCCTCTCTCGCTCGGTTGTAGCCGGCATTAGAGCACTCTCTCAGTGCGCGCGGGTCTGTCGCGCGTCGTACCGAGGCTCCCTGGTGACAGTGGTGGTCGTTGGTGTACACATGCATACAAACGAGACTACGCGCCGCCGAACGGGGGTGTAATCACGGGTTCGCGCGCAATCGCAAGTGTATGTACGTGTGTGTATGCATACGGGGTGGCTGGCCCGTGTTCGACTGCGCGAACGAGGGGGATAGAGATAGAGAAAGTGAGAGAGGGTGGAGAAAAGAGCAAGCGGGGAAAAGATACAGGGAGAGTGGGTGAGCGCGAGGGTGGCGGCGAACGCCGGTGGCGGTAGCGACGGCGGCGGTGGCGGCGTCAGTGCACGGAAGTGGCTGTGCTCCGGTAGTGGACGGTGGATAGTGTAGTGCGGTTGGTCGATTGGATCGGTTGGTCGGTCGGTGGTTGATTCGCCGTCCGTCTCGCGTTGCCGTCGTGTTTTCACTCTGGGAGCCGGTGGCGGAACGACGTCGGGCATCGTCCACGAGGCGCAGACGGCGAGACGACGACGGGACCGCAAGAAGGGAGAGAAAAGAGAGAGAGAGAAAGAAAGAGAGACGAGAGGGGCGAGAGAATGAGATCGATAAGGAGGAACCTTAGGCGCTGGTTTCGCGAAACGGGAACGGCGGTGCGCGACGCGTAAAGAGAGAAGGAGAGATATATACCTCCTCCTCTCCACTTCCTCCTCCGCCCGAAGTTGCGAGTGCGTGTGTGCCCGTGCGTGTGTATGTAGTGCGCCGACGACGAGCAGCGCACGCGACGGAAGTGAGAGACACACGCGCGTTTGGAGTACGCGCGCACGCGTACGCACGCAGGCGCGAGTACGCGCGAGCGTGTGAGCGAGCGAGCCCGCCGGCACACGAGGGTGGAACGAGGTCCGCGAGGAAGGGAACACGACCGGCTCGGTTCGTCGACTTGTCTGGCTCGCGAAAGGGCGGTTCTTGGATCCGGAGCGCCGCGACCGGAGGCCGAGGGAGAGAGCGAGAGAGAGACCGGAAGAGGGTACGGGAGGAGGGTACGCGAGAGAATTCGTTTCGTTGGTTCGTTCATTCGCGACGTATCGGCTCAGAGGAAGACAGAGGAGTGGAAGAGAAGGGAGTCGATTACCTCTTTTTCTCTCTCTCTCCCCCTCGATCTCTATTCGCCCTCGCTCGATGGGCTACGCCGCCGAAAGAAGGTCAAAGATCGATTCTCGGGCCGACGAGGGTCGTGACCTCGCCGTACGCCGCCGCCGAGTACGAAGTGACCCACGCGCGTAGTAGTACTATCCGCTATAGTAGTAGTACGCCGGCCAGAAGCGCGGAAGAGTTGTATTCGGTGAGGAGGCGAGGGGTGGCGGTGTGACGGTGGGTGGAGAGAGGATCGATCGGGCGGAGGATCATCGTCGCGATGCGAGGATGAGGTTGATCGACCGGCAGAGAAGGGACCGCGGAATCGGTGGTGTCTCCGTTGAGATCGACGATACGCGGCAGCCATCTCTCGCATAGTAAGAACGAGGACCGAAACGATCACGTCCTCGTCAATGCACGTCGTTCGCGAACGCGCCATCGCACGTAGAGTAGAAACGTCCGCGCGCATCCCAGGACACGCCGTTATCGTGTCCGCGATTTGGCGTAAAAGATCGCGAAGGCGCAAGGAGATCGGAAACGTATCGTCGACGTCGTCGTCGTCACCGTCGTCGTCGACCATAGCCGGATGCTGGAGCACGAAGTTGGAAACGAAGCGAAGATCGAGTCGCCCAAAGAAAGGCGATCGTCGAGATTTTGGCGCGCGAAGCATCACACATCCATCCTCCGACTGTTACCCTAACTGAAAGCTCGGATAGACCGGACGGACGTCCTGCTGCGATCGGACGGGGAAACGCTCGTTGATCGAATCATCCGTCAATCGGACAATCGGGCTGATATGAGCGTGAAGACGCACGAGGGTGACGAGAGACTGGGGAACGGTCTGGGCAAGGCGTGACGAAGCGACTGCGGAAATTTCGGGTTGTACGGGATTCCCTTGGGAAATCGGAGAACGCGCGAGCATTGCCCGCTCGAATCGTTAGGTCGAGAAAGAAAAAGACGCGTGGATTTATTATAATTGCACAGAGCGCGATCGCGAAAGCGAGAGAATCGGGCGATTCTCTCGTAGAAGAGGAGGAGGACGACGACGAGCACATCGACGGAGTACCGAAGAGACGCTGACGTGACGACAACACTGATTCAAAACGTTCTCTCGCGGCTACGAGGAGGAGGAGGAGGTCCGACGGCTGCACGCCGAGGTTTCCCGTAGAATGTCACGGGACCTTTACTCAAGCAGTGGCGTGATCGGTCCCGGTGGTGGCACACGTTCGCCACGCAGCGGTCGTCGCGTGGGCGAGCTGCCGACCGTTGATCGTAGCCCGTCGCGAAGTTATGCCAGCGGTCGTGGCAGTCCGCTCGGTGGTCGTAAGCAACGGGGAACACGCAGCGGCAACAACTCACCGGAGCATCTAGGCTACGGCGGCGGCTACCATCACCATCAGCTGGGCAGCCCGTACTACTCCCGCGACGAGGACCTCGGCAGTCCCGTGATGCTCGAGGAGAGGGGCAGGAGTATGTCGACCGGGGGCGGTGGGGGCGGACATCACCGATCCAGAAGCGCCTCGAGACCCGCCATGTCCAGCTCGGCGGGCATGGTAGCGCGTTACACCAGCCTCGATCGTGCCTCCGCAGGCGTTCTCGACCATGATCGGGAATTCATGCCGATACGCGAGCCGAGCCGCGAGCGTAGCCGCGATCGCGGACTCTACCTGGAGGACGAGTTATACGGCTCCAGGTCAGCGCGTCAGAGCCCGAATCCGCACATGCTGCGCGATGGAGGCATCTACATCGGCGAGCTCCAGCATCAGAACAACGATCTGCAGCGCGAGCTCGGTAACCTGAAGAAGGAGCTCGAGTTGACGAACCAGAAGTTGGGCAGCTCGATGCACAGTATCAAGACCTTTTGGAGTCCGGAACTGAAGAAGGAGCGGGCGTTGCGCAAGGAGGAGAGCACCAAGTACAGCCTCATCAACGAACAGCTCAAGATGCTCAACTCGGAGAATCAGGTCAGTCAAGAATTACCGCTTTCCTCCGCGGACCGGTCGATTCTCGCGATGCTCGGTTTAGCCTTGCGAGCGCGTGTGCTGTGTCTCCGTGTACGTGTGTGTGTGTATGTGTGTGTCGCGTCAGCACAGGATTCGATTATCGGATTCCGTTGGTCCCCCACGAATACTGTACGGGATGCTTATAATAGCCTCAGGGTCTCGTTACGCGATTAAAAACACGAAGAAATGTCCTGGAAAGCCGCGGAAATGCGCGGAACATCGTCCTGCCCGAGATCCTCGCGACTGTCACGTCACACGCGTCCTTGCGCGAAGGCCGTCCTCTCGAAATCAGGTCGCGGAACGTGACCTGATGTGCCCGACGTTAACCCTTTTCCGCGAGATTGCGTACATGGCAGAATATTTTAGCACATGTGTTTGACCTAATTATCTCTTGCCAGTCTGCGGTCAAAATGATTACCATGTGTAAGCAGACTTTCGCGTAATGGTAATTAAAAGTGGATTAGCCTTTTAAAACGCAACCACCAATTCCTCAAAATAAATGCGGAAAAGGTTACGAAATACGGGACATTTCTTCAGTGTCAGTCAGAAATTTAGTTTATTTTTTAGAAGGAAAAAGTGCAATATATTTTTAGTTCATTATCAACGTATTATAGCTAAATTATGAATGACACTGATCCCTTTAAAGCGAGGATAGAAAAAAACCTTAAAAAGATTATATATAAAATGCATTCATCATATAACCCTAGAAATATAGGTCAACTCTTTGATGAAAAATCTTTTGACGTAACAAAGGGTGGAATTTTTACGAGATCAACGTATTATTATTTTTGCAGAACCATGTTGCCTATACATTTTACGAATATGATAGTAAAATATGTTTTACGACAAATTTAGCTTTCAGATCAAGACAGTCGCGTTGATCTCTTACACTTTCGTGACATCACTGGGAATTCGTCACTGAACTTTTTAATTATTTAGCGTCTTTTTGGATGATTCAAGGTAAAATGAGTCATAAAAATAACGACAGTCTGTTCTGCAGTAACGACACTGTTGCAGAATCTTATTATCGATTGGCTAAAAATGCAACACGAAGGGGGAGCCACCTTTATGCTGATTTCACGAACGTCACGTAGGTAAACCCCGAAGCTTTTGCGGTAATTGATCCATTATCACAATGCGCGCACATTTGCGAGATGCCGTATCAATTAACGTTACGACAGTAACGGGCGGGGCGCGGCGTGTCATTGTCGCGCAAATATCGTGTTAAATCATTCATAATTCGGCACGGCACGGCAACAAGTTTCACTCACGCCGCAATTTGTTTTCGCGTCCATCGCTTTGCGATATTTTACAATGAATCATTCGATACGTCGATTAATTAATTAAACGAAACTCGTGCAATCTCTGCCAAGCTCTTGGACGCGATATTTATGGATACACTTTCAAATTATTAATTATTCGCGTTTGTTTTCTGCATGAAATTTCTTAACTATTGTATTACCTAAACAATTAATTAAAATATAAAATATAATTTCCTCGTAATTCAAAATAACCATTGCATTAACATAGATTATGAGGATACTCATATTACTTGAGTAATGAGAAGTCACGGATAAAGTTACGTGAATAATATTTTATTACGCCGTGCAAACTTAATAACACACACACAACATTTTATAGCCCACACTGTATTTTAATTAAATCATCATTTCGTCTTGTTGCCTGTTTTGTGGTTTGGCGACCGTATAGCGCGTGTTCCGTGAATCCGATAAAACCATCCGTAGGAAAAAAAAAGTACGTCGGCCTTGTCATAAATGCATGTCATATAAGAACGGTGTGCCGCGGATTGCCGTCGCTTTAATTCATACTTTTTCCAACGTGGAGTCAATTAAATCCGTACTCGAATGCGTTTACGCTCAATTCCGCGTGTCGTGCGCGCGCGCGCGCGCGCGCGCGCGTGTGCGTATGCAACGTGCTCTTACACGGCGCATGTATAATTGTACACGCGTGTCGCGTTCACGACGGCGGCGTCGAATAAGTCATTGCCCCGGCGAGCGGAAGAATCTCAAAGAGCTAGATGTTTCTCTGGCCGACTGCCCACATTCGTACGTGCCTCTGTCTCTGCCTACCCCTCCTGTCTAAGTAAATGCGTGCTGCCTAGGCGTTCGCCTGCAACGAGCATATACGTATGCGGAATGCTTGTCGGGCTTACATCAATCCTATTGTTCCCGACGTGCAAAATTCGCAATCATGGGCCGAGCCAGGTGCGCTATAAATTACGCCGACGACGGTTTTACAGCGGCGACGATCCGTATTGCGCGCATCACTCGATAGTAGCCCATTTTCCCTACAGGCACAGAGAATGAAAGATATAAATTTTTATTATACTTATTACCAAACACGCTGAATACAAGGGAAATGTTTCCCTTTGTTCTGCTTATATAAAAATATAATTTTATCACGCACCAAATTACAAAGTGTAATTCATAAATATAGCATATTATTTGTTTTATTCGAATATACTATCCACACTTTTTTTTTCTCTCATATTAGAACTCAAACGCCCGCATCTATCAGACTTGAACTTAATCATCTCGCGTAATTAAAAAAGGGCTTTTTTAAAATTAAACGCCGGATGTGGTCGTAAAATATTCCCGGTGATGCTTACGCGATAAATAATCTCAAGTACGACAGTACTCGGCTTTCTGTTGGCAAATAATATTAAAGTTAAGATTTAGCTCGTGCTCTGACAAAAATTAACAATATTAATCGTGCGCGGGTTTATTCACTTCGGTATTCCCTTTGAACCCCTCCGTTCCGTCGTCGTTGCGGACAGCTTTACGAGGAATCGCGTGTAATTTTCCGGAAGAACTTGCTGAACAAGCTAATACCGTGTCGCTTCGCAAGAAGAAGAAAAGGTGCGCGCGGATGACACAGAGAGAAACGCCGAAAGAAATAATTCTCGTTCGTCTCCTTCGACGTGATACCGACGAGAGTAAAGTGGAGTCTTCGATCGATCCGCACACAGCCTCCGGCGAGCTTTTCCTGCGCTCCCTTTCTTCCATCAGCATCGGGAACCTGAGAACGGAACGTGCAAAAACGCATTAAACTGTCGCTGGCAGGGATGAAAAAAAAACCAGCTTAAACGCGAGCGTGAAATTAATTCTCTCTCTTTCTCTCTTTCTCTCATCGGTAGCGAGCGACTCAAGATTGTCTCGTGATACGCATGTGACAAGCAAGAAATGTCGCTTGATTTTTACAATTTTGTAATATTCCCGACTAATATTCTTCTCTGCGACGACGTGAAACGCGAAAATTACATTCTGCGCGAATTCCCGCAGCACCGAAGGCATGGCGTCTATGAACCATACGTAATATGTTCACGAAACACGTTAAGAATGTTGCCGGTATCTAAAAGTCGATAATTGAGTGATACGAGCGCGGCGTGATAGCTTCAATATTTCGAGCATCGATTAAGATTACGTCACATGCATCGTACATATATTTTTTTGAAAATTTGTGAATATTATTAAAAAGTATTGGTCTCTTTCAGAGCATTTTATTAAATTTACGAATAAATAATTTAAAAATTATGTCAAGGAAATATGCAAAACATTTTTTTCCTCACTGAAAATACTAGCTTAAAAATATTGCAAAATAATCTTAGAATTAGTTTTAATATTTGTAATTCATTGAAATTAATAATTTTTTATAATTCGAAAAGAAAAATTAATGATTCGCATGTTTTAGTGCTGCATTCAATATTTTGTCGAAATTAAAACAGTATGCTAAGAGTTTATTTTGGATTGCAAGCTCTTATTAACGTTCTATTTTTATTGAAATTATCTGACAAGATATTTATGTTAAACAAGGCCAAATTTGGCTCTTCAAATCATTTATGTTACATTCATCTTGTGTTACAAAATGGATATGTTCTATTAAATAAAAACGTCTCTTGTTTTATTTACAAATTAAATCTAATTGCCATCTTTGAAAATTTGATTCGACTGCTTCTTCTCGTATATTATAAATTTATCTTTAATTCTGTTTGAAAAACATTTTTATTACATATTTTTTTCTGTTCGGAAACATTTTACAACATCGTATTTAAATTATCAGAAATTTATTTTATAAATTGTTTTATTTAATAATTTGTTTAAATAACAATATTTGAAGGAGTTGAAATTGGTGTTCACTGCACAAAAGTAAATATTTATTTAATGAATTTTATTTCCGCTACATCTTTATACTAATTATAAAAATATTCCAATTATCTCTTCAACGTAATATCTGACGTTAATTAAAATTACGCTGTTTATAAAAGGATAGGTAAATAAATCCGTATCAAGAAATTTCTAATTTATTTACGAATAATTCCTCTTTGTTTGCTTCATTCAAGTGAAAGTGACAAAAGTTAATTCACGAAGTTTAGTCATAAACTAATAACGAATGAGCTGCACAATCTTAAAGTTGCTTTAAATATATAATGCTGTAAATATATAATAAGTACCCGTTGCCGTGGATTGTAAATCTGTTCGTGTCTAAGTGCAGACAATACCGTCTCTCATCTCATGAATGTTCACACGCCACGGTAATTCATCTGACATTGCAGCTGCTATCCGAGGCCGTGGATGAAGACAGTCGATTTTAGAGAGCTATTGTGCTGTCACTGATAAAAAAATGTATAATGCAGCACTTGTATCTGGCATTCTTAATTATTCTTCCATTGTTCGCATCTTGCGCCGTAATAACGCGTAGAATCATAATACTGGAAACAGCGAAGATATTTAATCTGCGGATTTGTTGAATATTTAAATGCAGCGATGAGGTACCTAATTGATTCGCGCGCAATCAAAATAAATCTAAGCTTATCTTTTTACATAATATTTTACGTAATCGGTACTTTAAATAATTCTCATAAGGTGCTTCTCAATAAACGAGTAACAGCCGATATTACAGATGCCGAAGAGTAATTTTTATATGAAAATCATGAGAGCAAG